GTCGGTGTAGGGGGCGCGGGGCCGCCGGGAGGGCGCGGTGTGTGCATCCGCGAGTTCCGCGCTGCGGAGCAGGAGGCGGCGCGCCGCATCTTCTACGACGGCATCATGGAGCGCATCCCGAACACGGCCTTTCGCGGCCTGCGGCAGCACCCGCGCACGCAGCTGCTCTACGCCCTGCTGCATGGTCAGTGCGCGGGCGGCGGGGACATGGGGACCCCAGGGGGGACAGCGAGGGGCCAGGGCCGCAGCCCACGGGCCACACTGCGCGCCTGCCTGCCGCAGTCCTGCGCGGGGCCCCGGCTCGAGCGAGCCCGGCCGGCCCCTCTGGGGAGTCTCACCGCGCTCCTCCCTCTGCCCCCGCCCGGGTTCCTCTGCATTGCTCTCACTTCAGAGCCGGGGCGGGAGCCTAGGCTGAGGCTGAGCTCCAGTCCCTGCGTGGAACCCGTCCTGAGAAGGACGCGACGGCCACGCACCCGCGCGTTCACCGGCTTTCTGCAGCGGCTGGGCCAAGTTGGCCCAGCGGTGGGGTCGGTCTGGGCTCCTGGCCAAGGCGCTCCCGGGCAGGGGCGTGGGAACAAGCTCTGGGGCCCAGCGCGGGCTGTAGGGTAGGGGCTGAGTCTGGGGAAAAACTTGGTCTCCACCTGCGTCCCCACCGGTCGGCTCTGATCAGCCCTGTACTCTGGTCCCCTTCCCGGTGTATCGGGGTGGGGGCAGGGGTGACCGGGCAGGTAGCGCCGGCTGCTGAGACTCTGTGCCTGGTGCGTGTAACTATATATAATCCGCGGGGCGGGGGAGGCTGCCTCGGCTGGCCCACGGGGCAATTTACGTGTAACTATATATAATCCGCGGGGCGGGGGAGGCTGCCTCGGCTGCTCCAAGTGCTAATTTATGAGGGGAAGACAGCCAGCTCCGTGGGGCGCCCGGGGTGGGGGGGATGGGAGGTGTGCGCCAGGGAGGCAGAGGCTGGGGACAGTCGCTGAGAGCGGCCTGGCAGGGTCTTTGACCCTGTATTCCCTTTGAGGGCCTCTTCGCATGAACTTGGAGCAGGAGAGTTGTTCTTCCATTTTTCAGATGGGGAACTTGAGGCCGGAGGGGAGGGCGACTTTCCCAAGGTCACATAGCCGAGGCACTCTCACCCCAGGCTCCTCTGCCTGTACAGCCTGAATGCTGAAGCAGCGAAGCCATATCAGGTCTCCCTGCCCTGCCCCTGTGCTCATAAGGCCCAGAGGCTGGTCCAAGGAGGCCTCTGAGGGGTGGGGTGGGACCCTGGGAAGAGGTGATCCTGGTCTGGGCTGGCGGAAGGCCGGCCTGGCTGGGATTCTCTCTGGACCACGCGGGCTGCCTGCCCAGAGGTTGCTCCTGTGTTCAGTAAGTTAGAAATCTGGGGACTTGGTCTCAGCTTGTACAGGTAGCATGTCTTTATGGTAGGAAGTTTGAAAACAAGGCAGAGGAGGAAGGTTCTCTAAGATGGCCCCTAGCCTGCCCACGGGGGAGAACAGCCTGAGTATCTTTGGTCTGCTCTCTCCTCTGAGCACGTCTCTAACTGGCTCACGTACCAGGGCTGGTCCTCCTGGTGCACACTGTCTCCTGGTCTGGCCCGCTGGCCTTGTCCCCTCCCCTGCCCCGCTGCTCACCTGTGCCCCTCTCACTTGCAGCACTCTGCTTCGCGGTGACCCGCTCGCTGCTGCTGACCTGCCTGGTGCCAGTCGGGCTGCTGGGTCTGCGCTATTACTACAGCCGCAAGGTGATCCTTGCCTACCTCGAGTGCGCACTGCACACGGACATGGCGGACATCGAGCAGTACTACATGAAACCACCCGGTGAGTCCAGGGCGGTCCAGCTTCCTGCTCTTGCCTCCCTTTGCCCCTCCTGCCCTCTGCCCCAGATTCCTTCTTCCTGCAGAGCCAACTCCCCTTCCCCCACCTCCCAAGCAACCTCAGGGCAGGGCCAAGGCAGGCCTGGGGTGAGGGTCAAGGGAGCAGTGTCGGTGGGCTGGATCCTCCCACATGTGGCCCTGTCCAGGGTGGCCTGTCTTTGTTGTTCATGCTGTTAGGACCTTTCCCTGGGGTTGGGGTGATCCTGACTATCAGGCGTGCCTTGCTGGAAGACCGTGTGGCAGGAGCAGAGTATATTCTGAGACACAGGAATCTGGGTGGGAGCAGGGGCTCTGGCCTCGAGCCTTGGCTGGTCTTTGGGGTCTAGTCTCCGGGCCACTTAGTGAACCTGGAAGGTCTTGCCATAACCCTATGGCTTCAGTAGAGAGAGGGGCTAGGATCTGGGTCTAGGGATCCTCAGGGCTATTCCTACTTCACAAGCTGCCCATAAGGCAAACTGGATCCTAGGAGGCAGGGCCATGTGTTTCCTCCAGGCTAGGAGGCAGGGAGAGTGTTGGCCATCTGGGGCCTGGGGTCGCCCACATATTAGAGGGTCTGTGGGCTGAGAAGAGTGGCACAGGTGGGTCCAAATGAGTCTAGTAGGAGCCTGGTCAGTACCAAGTAAGGGCAGTCCATTCTGGTGGCCCAGCTGCTGTGGCCACATCTCTGGCTGAGCTGTCCATCCTATGCCCACACCCCCACCTGGCCTTGACACCTGCCATTCTCTTTGACCCTTCTCCAAACCCAAACAGCATCTGATCAGCCTCCAGGGAGCCCTAGCTGCTCCTGGCCTTGCTCAGCAGAGGAAGGGAGGCAGAAGAGTGAGGCCACTTGGCGTGGAAGCCCGGTGAGTCCAGGGCGGTCCAGCTTCCTGCTCTTGCCTCCCTTTGCCCCTCCTGCCCTCTGCCCCAGATTCCTTCTTCCTGCAGAGCCAACTCCCCTTCCCCCACCTCCCAAGCAACCTCAGGGCAGGGCCAAGGCAGGCCTGGGGTGAGGGTCAAGGGAGCAGTGTCGGTGGGCTGGATCCTCCCACATGTGGCCCTGTCCAGGGTGGCCTGTCTTTGTTGTTCATGCTGTTAGGACCTTTCCCTGGGGTTGGGGTGATCCTGACTATCAGGCGTGCCTTGCTGGAAGACCGTGTGGCAGGAGCAGAGTATATTCTGAGACACAGGAATCTGGGTGGGAGCAGGGGCTCTGGCCTCGAGCCTTGGCTGGTCTTTGGGGTCTAGTCTCCGGGCCACTTAGTGAACCTGGAAGGTCTTGCCATAACCCTATGGCTTCAGTAGAGAGAGGGGCTAGGATCTGGGTCTAGGGATCCTCAGGGCTATTCCTACTTCACAAGCTGCCCATAAGGCAAACTGGATCCTAGGAGGCAGGGCCATGTGTTTCCTCCAGGCTAGGAGGCAGGGAGAGTGTTGGCCATCTGGGGCCTGGGGTCGCCCACATATTAGAGGGTCTGTGGGCTGAGAAGAGTGGCACAGGTGGGTCCAAATGAGTCTAGTAGGAGCCTGGTCAGTACCAAGTAAGGGCAGTCCATTCTGGTGGCCCAGCTGCTGTGGCCACATCTCTGGCTGAGCTGTCCATCCTATGCCCACACCCCCACCTGGCCTTGACACCTGCCATTCTCTTTGACCCTTCTCCAAACCCAAACAGCATCTGATCAGCCTCCAGGGAGCCCTAGCTGCTCCTGGCCTTGCTCAGCAGAGGAAGGGAGGCAGAAGAGTGAGGCCACTTGGCGTGGAAGCCCAAGCCGCAGTGGCAGGAGGGGGTGCCCAGCATGGCATGAGGTCCCTGTCTGTGGCCCTGCCTTCTCTGGGCCATAGCTCCTCTAGTGACAGAGGGCTTAGGTGTTCTTGCTTTCCCATCCTGGGACAGCTTGTGGACCTGCAGGCAGACCTCTCAGGGAGAGGCTGGAGAGCAGCTGACGGTCTGGGCTGGATCTGTGGGAGCTGCACATACAAGTGGGGAACTGAGGCCTGGAGAAGGGCCAGTATGCTCATGGCCACATGGTGCTGAAGGGCTTTCTACTTCCAGGATTGTCCTGGCTTCTGGTCCTGCCTGGGTGGGCGAGGAGAGGCCAGAACCACTGGATGGGGAACTGACCAGCTGGTGGGAGGGGGACTGGTCCTTGGAGGTGGAAACACTGCATAGGTGGAGAAGTAGGGGGCCAGGTGTGGGAGCACCCTGAGGGCTCTGGGACAGGGACAGGGTGGCCCTCTGGGGCCCCTGGAGCTGTCAGAGCGCAGAGGGACAAGCAGTGAGTGGCCATGGCATTGGCAGTGGTGCCTGGCAGGCTCATCCTGGACTGCTTCCATTTCTGCTGTGGAGGATGGGTAGTCGGGGGCTCAGTACCCCTTGGCCCTATACCAGGGCTCAAGGTCTGGACTGAAGGAGATGTGGTCCTCCTCCTAGAACCTTTGGGCTGATGGGAACCCCTGGGTGGGGAGTGGTTAGGTGGCTGTGGCTGGTGAGGCTGGAGTGACCCTGGGGCAGGGGCAGCTCTCTCAGCTGTCAGGACCCTGACCTCCTATGGCCCCTTGGCCTTTGGAGAGGTCTCTGGTGTCAGCTCTGTAGTTGGTCACCAGTGGTGTCCAGGTCCTCCCTGTGGCTTATGCCCTGTGGTTCTCCCTTCCCCTGGCCTACTCTTGCCTCTTGCATGTCTCTGTCCCCCCTCCCCTCCTCGCCTCTCCTGGCTCCTCTCCCCAGCATGAGGTTGGCTGGCCAGCGGGCTCCCTGCCAAGGAAGGGCTAGAGTCAGTGGGACTTATGATGGTGCCTGTAGCCAACCCTTTCACCACTTGGATTTTTTTTTTTTTTTTTTTTTTGGGCTATAAGGTGCATTTGCTTGCTGGAGAGACAGGGAGAGAGAAAGTAAGAAATCACCCCCTGGGGGGATGGCCACACCACAATCCCCTCTCCTCCATGCTCCCCTCGGAATTTTGGGCACACTCACACATGCTCCCAGTATGAGTTTCAAGCCACCAGAACTTGAACCGCGGTTGGCCATGTGGGAGTCCAACACCTTAACCACACCACTTGCTGGCCTCCACCCACTTGGATTTATGAAATAATCCTCCCAGGCCTGCACTCAGCTCCTGCCGAGTCCTCCATCACCACCCCATCCCTTTCCCCAGCCCCCCGATGTAGACCTGGGGGTGAGCATGACAGGGTAGCTCACAGGGCCTGCTCAGCTGTTGGTACTAGGGCAAGTGTGTCTAGGCTGTGGTGCTGAGTCAGGTCTCAGAGCAGGCAGGCCAGGCAGGCCAGGCGGGAGCTTGGGGTGTTAGCCAGACTCTTCGCTCAGGGGACCAGGGAGGGAGGTAGCTGCACCTGCTTGTCCCCACCTCAGGTCCAGTAAGCTGGGAGGTTGGCAGTCTGGGTGGACTGAGCCGCAAGCTGATGCCCTGGCTTGGTGCACGGCTGGAGTGGGTAACCCTGAAGGGGTCCCTGTTCATTTCTTGGCTCTTGCCACACCCTGGAGGTGGAGGAGTCTCCTTGGTCTTCCTTGCTGAGTGTCGCTGACTTCCCTGTCCCCCACAGGCTCCTGCTTCTGGGTGGCCGTGCTGGATGGCAACGTGGTGGGCATCGTGGCTGCTCGGGCCCATGAGGAGGACAACACGGTGGAGCTGTTGCGCATGTCTGTGGACTCGCGCTTCCGTGGCAAGGGCATTGCCAAGGCGCTGGGCCGGAAGGTGCTGGAGTTCGCCATGGTGCACAACTACTCTGCAGTGGTGTTGGGCACAACGGCCGTCAAGGTGGCTGCCCACAAGCTCTACGAGTCGCTGGGCTTCAGACACATGGGCGCGAGTGATCACTACGTGCTGCCTGGCATGACCCTCTCGCTGGCCGAGCGCCTGTTCTTCCAGGTCCGCTACCACCGCTACCGCCTGCAGCTGCGCGAGGAGTGACTGCCGGCACTCACCCACCCACCACCCCGGCCGCCCCTGTCCGCCTGTGCTCGCCTGCCCGCCCGGTGCAGCCCTGCTTTCAGACACTCACCTTGGCGTTTGTCTTGGGTTTTCCTTTTCCAACATCATGCGGTTAGCTGGCTGGTTCTTCAGAGGGGTGCAGGGCTGTCAATCATCTGCAACACTTTGGTGGGGGTGGGTCATTTACAGTCACAGCCCCTCACCTTTCCCAGCCTGCCGGGGCAGCTTGGCACGTCTTGAAGAGCGGCGCCGTGGACCACTGTGGCTGTCCACGAAGCTCCTCAGCCCACCACCATCAGGGAAGGCTCAGCCTTGCCCACCAAGCACACAACCTCTGCAGTGAAGCCCCCTGGGAGCAGACCCCTGACCCCTGCCAGGCTATGGCTCGGCCGTTGTCCCTGGAAGTGTGGCCTGCTAGACCAGCTGGCTGCTGCCCCACGGGACGCCAAGCTGGACACGGGCCTCGCTTTGCACTGTGCATGCTGAGGATGTGGCCTCGCCGCAGCATGCCGCATGCCCATAGCCTCCCACCCACTGCCCTGCCCAGACTGGACCCCGAGACCATGGCTGGTGAGCGCCCTGCCCTGGCCCTGAGCTAGCCACGGTAGGGTCTGCCCTGCCGCCCACCCCACCTGCTCTCTGGAGGGGTCTGGACTGCTGCCCTTGGCTTCATCCACTTCCGCTTTGCTTTGACATTATGTCACCTTTCTTTCCTTTTGGTTCCTGCTCCCTCCCCTGCCCGGGCTTGGCTGATTGGCGTCATCACCCAGGTGTGGTTTCCGTAGCAACTTATTGCACAGCCATGGTGGGATCCATGGGGGGACATCCCTCCCTCAGAGCCTGCTAGAGCACAGCGGCCTCTTCTAGACATCCCCGAGGCCCTCCTGCCTCCTGGCTGGCGGGGTCTGCCCTGTGAATCTTACTAACCCAGGCCGCTGCCAACAATGCCGAGCCCACAGCTTCTCCCAGCCTGAAAACAACCCATTTTCTAATAAGTTATTTAGACAGAATAGCACTCTGCATGACTTTAATTCTTGGGACAAAATGGTAGTTTATACCTTAAGACACACACATCTGTGTGGTGCTAGAATATGCACTATTTCTGGCCCAGTGTGAGGGGGGTGGGTGGCCGGGTGGGTGGAGGTTCACAGTTTGAAATCTGGAGGGAGACCCTGATTTAGCATAATTTTCCCCCCAACAAGCATTCCTGGTTTGCACGGAGCCTCCAGCCGCTCCTTTCCAGCCCCGGCCTGCAAGGCTGAGGGGATGGATCCAGTCTGTGGCCCCCGGAGAAGTGGAACCCAGGTCCTCTTCTCGTGAGAGGAGGGAGTGGTTCATGCTGTCCCATGGCCACTAGGCTCAGGTCAGGCCAGCTGTGCTTCTGGCCTTTCCTTAAGGTTGGATGCAGGGGTTGTCCCGAGCATGAGTTGGCCTGGGGAAGGGGGAGCAAGGCGGTGGTCGGCAGCAGCTGCATGTCCAGCCGTGAGCCTGGGGCTGCTTTTGGCGGCAGGAGGGTCATGAGCACCCACCCAGACCCCTGTGTGTGGAGGAGAATTGGGGAAGGAAGGAGTGGCAGACAGGGCAGCTGGTCCCAGTCACCAAGGCCACGTGTGGGGCCACAGAGGGATGTCCTTTAAAAGGCACTTCAGAAATGAAGGAATGGAGCAGCCCAACTTCCGAGGGGCCTTTTGTCCTGTTAGCAATTGAGGTATTTGCAGAACACTGTACAGACCCCTGCTCCCTGTACATTTCTCCCTGGTGGCGCCCGGTCCCTGCTCGGGGATGGGAGTTTTGTAGACTGTACAGAAATTGGCCCCTATTTTCTTGCAGCTCTCAGATTTTGTTAATCTGGATTATACAGACAGACGTAAAGTGTTTTAGCAAAACAGAAAACAAACAGTTGTGCCTTTTTCCTCTTTCTGTTTGGTCTGGTTTCGGCTTGGGGCTGGTCTTAGTTGGTGTGGGCCACGTCGGGAGCTGCTGGCGGGCCAAGTGGGAGGCAGTGTCAAGGGGACGTGTCTTGTTCCGTGGGGAGCTGGGGATGCTATTGATCCTGTGCCTTTGGAGCCTCCAGTCCCTGGAGTGGGGAGTGTGTGGGACCTTGGAACCCACTGAGGTTAGGGCAGAGCCTAGAGGCCCTGGGGCTGCCAGGGTCTGCTTGACATTGTTCTGGGGTGGGCTCATGATGCCCACCCAACTCCCTGGGGCTCAGTGTCCTAGGGCAGTGGTGGGGCCCTCTCCTGTTCTCGTGGTATCTGTCTGCTCACAAGGGATCTCTTCCCCAACCACAGGGCCCAGTGGTAATGGGATGGTTGCTGGACTCTTGACTGTTCTTTGCTGCCCTTTTGTTGCTGCCAGGACTTGGAAGAGATGCTAGAAGGGGAGTAGCAGGGCTTGGACCCTGCTGTTTGTCCACTGAGCTGGGCAGAGGCACCAACGTGCCCACCAGGCTGGGCCTGAGCTGCCCCAGGCTGGAGCCCTCACCAGGCCAGTGTGCACCTCAGACGGGCCCCTGAAGGCCCCTAGGGGCAGATCTCCTGTCCTCCCCCTGAGTTGGAGGCTGGTCGTGGGCCTGCCTGGCTCACCTCCCCCCTCCAGCCTGGGAGCTGATTGCTCCACAAATGTGCACTGACAAGAATTTTATATGTTTGTAGAAATTCTGATGTTACTTATTCTACCTCTGTGAAGCACCCTCCTGGGGTCCTGCCGTCCTGTGTCTGGTGCAGCTTCTCTGAGTTCACTAGCCCTGGGCCCTTTCCTCTTTCCTGCTGGCCCTCTGGCCTCCCCCATGGGGCCCAGCACTGTGCTCAGGGGTCTGGGGCCCCCAGGGTTTCTGTTGTTTGTTTGGAAGCCTCTGTTTTTAGAGCGGGGAGGGTGGAGGCTGGGAGGTAGGATGCTTTAGGACGTCATTTGTCAGCAGAGGAGGCTGCAGCACTGACCTGACAAGCAGCTCCAGGCAGCTGAGGGCCCCCGTGTCTCTGGATGGCCCAGTGCTGCCAGGGTCCTGAGGTCTCACTGATGGGCAGTGGGCCTCTGCAGGCGGCTGGGCCCTGAGGATGAGCGGCCAGGGTAGGTGACCTACATGTGCTGAGGCTACCATGTGGTCTGGCCCTGGGAAGGGCCAGGGTGGGCTGGGCTCCTAAGTGTGTAGGGGCTGACACCCACAGCTGTGGCAGCATCTCCCCACTTTCCCCACCCCCACCCAGGCTTGTTTCCCACTGGCATCTGCCCTGGGCTGGGAGGCCCCATGGGCTGCAGCCTGAGGCCATCCTGTTCTGAGTGTTCTTAGAGGAGGAGAGAAGTCTGCAGGGGTTGGGGCTGGGGTTGAGCTGTCTGGTGGGTGCTGGGAAGTTTTCTGGGCTGTAAGGGCCTGAGTTCTGTCACACCTGCGCCAGCACACCCGCCCCAGCCCTCACTGGAGCTGGCTTCCAGGGCTGTGTCTGTGGTCAAAGGCCAGGAACTAGGGTTTCTGGGCTTTGCTGGACTGTGGGGCTCCTTGGGAGGTCAGAGGTGGCTCCCCAGCCAGCACAGGGCTGTGGCAGACAAGGCTGCCCATGCCCAGGGAGGGAGGAGCCGCACGTCCTGTTACCTGCTGACACGCCGTGTCTGTCCAGAAGCCTCTTCTCTGAATCTGCTTTGACCACAAACCCATGTTCTTTGGCTGAAGCTATTGGGGTTTGCATTCTGGGCTGGGGTGGGCAGACCCTGGACTGTGTCTCTCCTTGGTGCTGCTGCTACCATGCTTCCAGTGCGGGTGTGACGTCTATGAAGGGTGGGCAGTGGGACGCACAGAGCCACCCAGAGCCTGGGGTGAAGGAGATGAGCCCCGACATACCATTGTTGCATGTTTTTTTTTTTTTTTAAAAAAAAAAAAAACAAAAATTTAGCAATTTTACGGAAGGGGTAGGC